CCCAAGAGGCGCCCAAGACGGCCCAAGACGGCCCCAAGACGGCCCCAAGAGGGGCCCAAGAGGGGGACCACGAACCGAAAACTCGAGCCTTCCGCCCCAGGAGGGCCCCAGGAGGCCCCGAGAGGCCCCCAAAAGGCCCCAAGATGCCGCCAAGAGGTCCCCAAGAGGCCCCAGGAGGCCCCCAGGAGGCACAAAAGAGGCCCCAAGAGGCCCCAGGAGTTCAAAAATGCCTCCCAGGCGCCTCCGAACAGCTTCTCAAAAGACCCCAAGAGGCCTCCCAAAGAAGCATCGACGACGACCCTGTTTGGCCCCAAGAGCAACACAAGATGCCAACGAGAGGCTTTCTCCTCCGCCCCTTCCCCTTCCTCCTCCTCCTCCTCCTCCTCCTCCTCCTCCTCCTCCTCCTCCTCCTCCTCCTCCTCCTACTTATCTTCATTATCTTCATCTCCTTCTCAGCCTCTCCTCCTCCTCCCCTCCCCTCCCCTTCCCCATCCTCATCGTCCTCCTCCTCGGCGGCGCCACAATGGCCCCGGGCCCACAGCGAAGCAGTAGCGATCATGCAACATGGGCCGGCGGAGTGAGCGAAACGATTAAATCATAACTCCGCTTGAAAAAGAGCCGCCCTCGATCCGTGCAACGCTACATGTGCTTGAGCTTTGAATATGTCGAGGTGATCTCTAACGCTGTTCCCACTGTTGCAAGATAGCAGCCAACCATCTTTCTAGCTGCTGCAGGCTGTAAGCACGAACGCGCGCGGTGCTGAGCGGGAGAACTTCCTGTTGAGAACGGCGTGTGCTCCACCCTTGCCACTGCTGCAGGACGTTCAGGCGAGGGTGGGCGAAACCATGCCGAGGGCCCCACTTTTGTGAAAAGGAACCGCCCTCCATTCCTGTAACTGCTGTCAAAGCTTAGGATTTGGTCGGGCGCGTACTCCTACAGGCGGGCTGCGGGCTGTTGAAGAAAAGAAAACCTAAGCAAACCATATCAGAAAATACTCAAAAATGGTCCACCATAATCAAAAAACGTCCCCAAGCTAGTTCTTGACTATTGTTGAATACTCCTCCTGTGGAGGAACATGCCCGACTGAAGTTTAGGACGAATGGTGAACGTTGTTTTATTCAGCGTTTCGACATTGGGCGGAAAGAAGGGGTAAGGGGTTGGTGTCTGGCTTCGGATCTCTGCTTAGTGCGACTGTTCGGAACCGTGCATCCTATGGGGGAGACCCCATCGGCGAGGCAACAAGAAGTTTTGTTGTGGGCGCTGATAGATAGGATAGGGATTCTGCGCCACGCCCACGCAGGAAATTTACAGATCGGGGGCGGGGTCAACGAAATCGAAATAATGAACATTCGGTTGGCGAAGGAGAGCACGCAAACGGTTCTGCGGGAGAGCCAATGGGATATATACAGATCCTGCAAAGAGCCTAGAGAGAACACATAACAATGCGATGAGAGGCCCTGGAAAACAAAAACCATGTGCTGTAAGGAAACGAGAATGCACGCACCAGCGTCCAGAGACGGGGCGCGGGAGGGGCGGGGTGCGAGCGGCGGCCCCCGGGCCCCTTGCCCCGCGCTTGCGAAGCGGGCTCGCTGGCCGCCGCAATGGCCCTGGGCCACATGCGCAATGGATAAGGGACCTGGCGGGCCGCCGCGCGCGCTGCGGCACTGGCCGAGGCCGCGCGGGGAAGAGAACCAATGCGCGAGGGGCGCAACGGCCTTGGCCGATTCGGCGCAGGCGCCCAAAAACAGGCAAGATCTACACCACAGGGGGGGGGGGAGGGGGGGTGCGAGAGCCCGTGCCGATCGGCAAAATAATACATAAAAAACACCACCTCCTGCGGAGGGACATGCCCGACAGAAGCTCAGGACGAAGGTGTACTGCGCCGAGGCGCGAGAACCCCACTTCGCACGTGGCCCGTGGGGGCCGCGCGGCGAGCGCACACACCCTGCGAACCCACGCGCCGTGCACCTGTGGGGGAACCTAGGAGGCGCCGCCACCGCTGCTCCCCAGACCTCTCCCAGGTGGCGCCCCTGGGAGAGGTCTGGGGAGCAGCGGAGTCGGTGCCTCCTTGGTTAGGGGATCAACAAAATAAATAAATAAATAAAAATAAATAACATAAATAAATAAATAAATAAATGAATGAATAAATGAATGAATGAATGAATGAATGAATGAATGAATGAATGAATGAATTAATGAATGAATAAATAAATAAAAAAATAAATAAATAAATAAATAAATAAATAAATAAATAAATAAATAAATAAATAAAATAATAAATAAATAAATGAATAAATAAATATATATATATATATAAGAACTCGGTGGTCCGCGCAGATCTCTCGGATCGGCGCTGGGGCCCCCTGGCGGCGCCTCCGGCGCCGCCCCTGGCGCGCTCCGCGCGCCAGGGAAGGGGGTCGAACGCCGATCCGAAAAATCCGCGCGGACGTCCGAGTTGTTATGTCTGTGTCATGCTTCGTTCCCCTAACCAAGGAGGCACCAACACCGCTTCTCCCCAGACCTCTCCCGGGGTGCGCTCTGACCAGCATTTCGACGTGAATCCGGCGGTGGCGACGAGGGCCTCCCAGGAGGCCCCCAAACAGCGAAGGCGAGGGAAGGGTAGCGGTGGGGGTATCTTTTCTTCCCCTGAAGCTGCACCGTGAACGTTCCCCCGAGCACACGAGTTGGGACACGAAGGACCTCGACGATTAACCAGCCTTGACCTACTTCCCATCCTCAAGATCTTGAGGATGCGCCCTCAGAAACTGACAGAACCTCTACGACCAGCATCGAGGTAAGATGATACCAATCATAGGGGTAGGGTAGGTCGGGCATACAGGTGGATGTTGGAAGAAAAATGTAAACACGCAAACAGAGTCAAATATAGTTTCTTTGATTGCTCTCTAGATTAAAAACAAATCCACACACTATTTCTTTGACTACGCTTGAACTTTCCTCGGGACATGCCCGACTTGGGGACAGGGGCATGACTCACGCTGGTGAGATCGGGGCATCCCTCCCTCGCAGCACCGCCGCGCGTGGCCGTGGCGAGCGGCGCACGGGCCGAACACCTGACGTCCTCGCGAGGCCGCGGGACGGCGACCCACCGCGGCGATCTCTCGCCTGCAAAAGTCGTGCCCCGCGGGCGCCTCCTTGCGCCCGCGGTGAGCCTGGACGGGCGGCGGGCAGGCAGACGGACAGACAGGCGCTGGTGTGTGCGCTCCGGGGGGCGGCCCTTTAATGAAGAGCTCGGCGGGGGCGCCGGAGCGCAGAAGAACGCAGATGCCCTAGAGCACGAATAGTTTTCCTAGTCCTCCTCCTCCTCCTCCTCGAGCCAAGAATTGCTTCATTGACTCTGGTGACTCACGGTCAGCCCGTACAAGAAAGACGCACGTGAAGGCTGCAAGGGCCTCGGAAGGCCATGTCGACACATGGCCGGCGGGGCGCGGCCACGCGGCCATGGATGGGCCGAACGGGGAGGAAACAAGAAAATTGCTCATCCCTACAATGCAATTCGACTGTGGTGTACGACGCGGAATTTGCTTCACCAGCTCCACCAAAACAATATTCCCCGTGAGTTTGAACACAGTCTTCTCCGTGGTCTGTACAGGTTGCCTCCGCGATAACGGGAACCATCAATGGCATAAACCCAACGACGATCCGAGAAAACCGCGCGGACATCCGAGGTTTTCTGTTCACGCCATGTGTTCCTCCACGCAAGGATCTTCCTTCGCGCACGTCTTCCATGAGCACAGCATGGTGGCCTCGCTCGCCTCGGTGTGCGGCGCCGACTAACGTGCGGCCGCAGCCATCGTTGCAGCGGTCATGACCTGCGGCGCCTGGACCTCGCCGATACCCTCAGGAATCGGCTTGGGACCTCGCTGTGCGAGCTCCTCAACCTCGGCCACCACCTCCCCGACCCCTCGGAACCCCAAGACCACGTGGTAACGGACCGCGCGGTGACCTCGGAGCCCCCGGCGACCTCACTGTGCGGTCCGTCACGGCACGGCTTTGGGACCTCGGAGGCCCTAGTCGCCCGAAGCGTCCTCGGAGAACGATCCGCATCCTAAAACCGAGCGGGCACCCCAAATCCCCGCTGACTCACCACAACGTTCCTCCTCCGGATTGGTTTCTGGGTCGTATCTCCAAGTTACGGCGGCCGTTCGGGACGATCCTGCCCCCCCCAGCGCTCTCGGCGAGGCGCAGCTGCTGGAGCGCATCCCGAGGCAGTGAGACACCCAAAAACCCACGAAAACATCCGAAAACCCAGAGTTCCAGACCCGTCCCCGCTCCCCCGCCAACCCGCCACCGCCTCCCCATCCCACAGTCCTAACCCCCCACTTCGCAAACACACGCACGCACGCACGCACGCACGCACGCACGCACGCACGCACGCACGCACGCACGCAGGCACGCAGACACACACACACACACACACACACACACACACACACACACACACACACACACACACACACACACACACACACACACACACACACACACACACACACACACACACACACACACACACACACACGCACTTTTCCGTCGGCGGCAAGGCGGGACAAACCGCTCCAGCGCGACAGCGATGCAGGGGCACTACATAGCGAATTGGCTGGTATGCAGGAGGGGGTGGAAGAAAAGGTGGTCGCAGGGGGGGAGGAGGACGAGCGGTCAGAGGCGAAAAA